GGGGAGCGCCGGGCCCGAGGGGCGAAAAGCCCCCGCTCCCCTGGGACGGCCCCCATAAGCGGGGTCCCCTTCCCAGGGGGGGGCTGCCAGGTCCCGGGGCCTCCCCCAGGGCGGCGCAGGGTTCCCCCCCTGCGCTCGCCGCCTTGGGGCGGGACTGGCGGTCCGTCCCCCCGTCGTGTCGTGTCGTTTGTCGTCGTCGTCGTCGTCTCCGTCGTCGCCGTCGTCGTCTCCGTCGTCGCCGTCGTCGTCCTCGTCGTCGTCGTCGTCGTCGTGTGGCGGGCCGGGCCCCTTGGGTGGGTGGCGTGGGCTTGGTTTGGACTGGCCCCCCCCCCGTTCTGTCGGCTGCCGGGTGTCTCCGGCTGGGCCGTTTCTGGCCGACAGAACGTGGGGGGGGGAGCTGGCCAGCTATTCCCATGCTGCCCGCTTGCGGGGGGCCCGCTGGCGCCGTGCGCCACCCGCGCCGTGAGCGCCCCGCGGCCGGCCGCGCGCCCGCGCGCGGGCGCCCGCCGGCCGCGGCGGCGCGCGGCTTTAGTGCTGTGCACTCCCCCTTTCGAGGGCATTCCAATTCCATTCCTCCTCCTCCTCCTCCCTCCTACCTCCTCCTCCTCCTCCTCCTCCTCTCCTCCCTCCTCCTCCCTCCTCCTCTTCACTCCTCCTCTTTCACCTCCTCCTCACTCACCTCTCCTCCTCTCCTCTCCTCCTCCCTCCTCCTCCTCCCTCCCTCCTCCTCCTCCTCCCCTCTCCTCCTCCCTCCTCCTCCTCCTCCTCCTCCTCCTCCTCCTCCTCCTCCTCTCTTCCTCTTCCTCCTCCTCCTCCTCCTCCCTCCTCCCCCCCTCCTCCTCCTCCTCCTCCCTCCCCCTCCTCCTCCTCCTCCTCCTCCTCCTCCTCCTCCTCCTCCTCCTCATCCCGCTCCTCATGGGGCCCGCTCGGGAGCCTCTTGGGGCCCTCTTGGGTTGGGCCGTCTTGGAGCCCTCTTGGGCCGTCTGGGGGCCCTCTTGGATTGTTTTCGGCCCCTTTGCGGGGCCTCTGGGGCCGTCTGGGAAAGATCTTTGGGGCCTCTTGGGCCATCTTGGGCACGTCTGGGGGCCCTCTTGGACCGTTTTGGGGCCCTCTTGGGCCGTCTTGGGGCCCTTGGGCCGCTTCACCCGGAAAAATACAAAGAAACGGGCCATGAGAAACAATACGAGGACAGCTGGCCATTAGACCAGCGGTGTGCGCCCCTCGCCCCTCCCCGAAACCTGGCCTGGCACAGAAACGGAAAGAGTGCTTCAGAAACAGAAACCGAAATTACTCACACCACCGTTCGTACTGGAAGCCTTGGCGTTGAGAGGTTGTTACGTCACCCTTCGCTCTTGGGAGCCTTGGTGTTCAGAGATTGTTGCGTTGCCGCCCGTTCCTGAGCCTTGGCTGGGCCTTGGTATCAGGAACTTGTTACGTCACCGCTCTCTGCTGGGAGCCTTGGTCTTATCAGCTTGTTTACGTCACCGTTCGCTTTTGGGAGCCTTGGTGTGAAGAGCTTTTTGCGTTACCGATCGCTCTCTATTTGGCGTCTCTGGGCCTTCTTGGGAGTCCTATTGGAGCCCTTGTCGGGCCCTTTTGGAGGCCTCTTGGGAACCTCTTGGGGGCCTCTTGGGGCTTCTTGGGGGGCTCTGGGGGCCTCCTGGGAGCTTCTTAGGGCGAAAGGCTAGACTTTTCGGTTCGTAGTCCCCCTCTTGGGGCCGTCTTGGGGCCCTCTTGGGCCGTCTTGGGCGCCTCTTGGGCCGTCTTGGCGCCCTCTTGGGCAGTTTTGGGGGCCTCTTGGGAGCCTCTGGGGCTGTCTTGGGGGCCTCTTGGAGCGTCGTCAACGCAGTGAAAGCCGAAAAGCCTTGTATGCTAAAAACGTATCTTTCCCCATAAGAAATCAATGTTGTTCGCCTCCCGGTGGCCTCTTGGGACGCCTCTTGGGGGCCTCTTGGGGCTTCTTGGCGGGCTCTGGGGGCCTCCTGGGAGCGTCTTGGGGCGAATGGCTAGACTTTTCGGTTCGTGGTCCCCCTCTTGGGGCCGTCTTGGCGCCCTCTTGGGCCGTCTTGAGGCCTCTTGGGCAGTCTTGGGGCCCTCTTGGGCCGTTTTGGGAGCCTCTTGGGAGCCTCTTGGGCCGTCTTGGGGCGGTCTTGGGGGCCTCTTGGGCCGTCGACAACGCCGTGAAAGCCGACACAGCGCATATACTAAACATATATTTTTTCTATGGAAAATATATGATTTCGGCCTCTTGGGGCCCTCTTGGGACGCCCCTTGGGCGCCTCTTGGGGGTCTCTTGGGGGGCCTCTTGGGCCGTCTTGGGCGGTCTTGGGCTCTCTTGGAGCGCTCTTGGGCCCTCTTGGGGGGGAACCAGAAAAACATGCAAAAACCAGAGGGAAAACCCGAAAACGGCCATTAACACACATATGGGCCCGCTACCCCCCTCCCCTGGAACCCCTCCCCTTAGGGCTTCGCCCACACCAGAACGTCATCACTCGTACCTCGCTCTTTCCGTTACCCCTCCCTAGAAGGCTTCGCCCCACCAAAACGTTCATCACTCGCAACTCGCTCTTTCCGTTACCTGCGTGGCACGGTCACGGAAAGCGCATCTACTTTCAGAGCGCGAGATGTCGCTGGCTTGCCCGTTCTTTCTCTCTGTCTCCCCGTCTGGAGGCTCTCTTGGGGCATCTTGGTGGCATATTGGGCGCCCTCTAAAGCTATCTAGAAGCCGGGGAGGCCTCTTGAGGGGGAAGTAGGGCGTGTTGGTATCTTGGGAAGGCCCTAGAACGCATGAAATACGAATGACAATCATGATAAGATGGTTTATGATGAAGACGACGACATACTGTCTTTTGGGAGCATCTTGGGCCTCTCCCAGGCTCTCCTTGGGCCGTCGTGTGGATCTCTTAGGCCGTCGTAGGGCCCTTTGGGCAATCCTCAAGCCCTCTTGGGAACCTCCCTGACCGTCATGACACAATCTCGGCTTGCCGAAAATGCGAGAAGCTGGAAAACCTTCACAGACCTGAAGTGAACAATGGTTTTGCGTCCTCCAGCACTTTTGGGGGGTCTCTCGGGTCGCTCGGGGTGTCTTGAAGGTCTCTTGGGCCGTGTTGGGGCCATCTTGGGCTAGCTTGGATCGCTCTTGGGCCTTCCTCGG